GAGACGGTGAGTTCTAGACCCACCTTAGGCATGAAAGCTGGCTGGGTCCAATCACCAGAAGGCAGTGTGTTCTAGTCCTGCCTTAGATATGAAAGCTGGCTAGGTGACTTTGGCCAATCACTGGGAGACGGTGAGTTCTAGTCCCACCTTAGGCATGAAAACCTGTTTGAGTGACTTTGGGCCAGTGACTCTCAGCCCATCCCACCTCAGAAGATTGTTGCTATGGGGGAAATGAAAAAGAAAAAAGGGAGAGAAAATGTTTGCTGCCTTGAGTTACCTATACAGTCATAAAGCAGGAAAAAAAAATCTAACAAACTAAGTAAACAAAACTGTCTCTATCCTTAATACCTAAAATCCTGCAGACTTTGCAAGCAAAGCAGGATTTGAAGGAATTCGGCAGCTTGGAAAATGTGTTGTTCTCACAGGGTTGACAAGTCCCTTCCGTTCTGGGGACAGTACAAGGCTTAAGGACGAAAGTTCCTAGAAAAAAAGCAAAAGATGCAAACAGTTAAATACATATTAATAGTATATATTAAAACAGCGGTCCCCAAACTTTTCTGGCTCGGTAGACTAGCAATGGCAGCAGTGGTAGTGGCAGGCCAGAGGGGATTGATTTTGTGTGTGCGACCTAATCCTGCGCATGCACAAATGGAGCTTCATGTGGATGCCCGCTGCTTGCGCGGCCTGGCTTTCAACGGGCTGCAGACTGGCCCCGCTCCCCGGACCTGGAGTTGTCTTAAAAGACAGGAATTCTCTAGGAACTGCAGACCTAGCTATACAACGAATGTCCACGTTGCACCAATTAGAGGCAGGGAATAAATTAATATACAGCTACAGTAAGCCATTAGCACTGCTCTCTCCCCCAGTTGCATCTACCCATCCCATCAAAATCTGGCAGAAGAAATATGTTTCAAGTCCCACATTCAAAGGGGTTCTAACTGATGGGACCCAGGAACAGGGTCGATCCTGCTATTGTTGTGGTTCGCCGGCAGAGGTCTCGGACCGTGAGGATAAAAGGGAACCAGTCAGGCAGTCTGGCGAGGACTTGGATGAGGGTCCTGCATCCGATGTAGGGATGGGGCCAGGACCATCTGGGAGTGGGGTGCTGCCTTCGAAGCCTTTGGAGTCTGGCAGCAGCGAGGCAGAGGACCCAGGGGAGCCTGTTCCCAGTGTGCTTGTGCGCAGAGCTGCTAGAAGGCAAGAGCAGCTGAAACAAAAGGGGCGACTTGCGAGTAAGGCTGGGAGGTAATTGCCCCTCCCAGAAGGGATAAAAGTCAGTCCTCAATGACAAAGAGCTTTGCAGGAAGCAAAGCAGTTCAATAGATTCCGAGTCCTTCTTGAAGCTCTGTGTATTCCGGTCGTTTTTTTCTGGGCTGGTTTAGGTTAGCCTTAATTGGACTTCTCTTTCTTGGCAGCATTCGACAGCACTGATAAGTGTGCTCTTATCTGGAGGAACTGTGTCTAATGAGTTTTGGCTGGGAATGCAAGTAATTCCCAGCGTCACATTAAAACAGGTTTTACTTTTAAATTCAGTTTGCGTTTTATCAAGTTTGACGAAGCCTGGGTCAGAACAGCTATGGCACCCAGGCTTTAGTAAGATTGGCCTAACCCTTTTGGCCAGTCCCCGAACACATAGATGTGCCACCAGGCTTGGGGAATCTCATAGAGGTGAGGGTGGCTGTATTGTTTGTGAGCTGTAGGTTGGCACTCTCCTATGATTTTTGTGTGTGTGTGTGTGTGTGTGTGTGTGTGTGTGTGGCTTTTGTTATTTAACTGTTTGGATCGTTTTTCATTTTGTCAGTAGGAGTTTGGTTATGTTGCTTTAACTTTGTGAACCACCCCGAAACATGTATGCGAGATGGGTAGTATCAGTTGTGCCTCCACTTGAACCTTTAAGCAAGAACGAATCCACTTGTTGAGAAAGGTATAGTTTAGAAGAGGTCAAGTGAAATACAGTAAAGCAAAGCCGGAACTGAAATTTGCCCGCCAAAACCCCAAGTGAAATCTTTTCCCCTCCTAGGCACTTCCTGTTGCTGGTCCCTCCCATCACCACTTCAAAGAAAATGTTTTTGAACTGGATGTAGGCTGGCTTGCAGCTGCATTCTTCTCACAGTGGAGTGACCTTGACACACCATTTTGGAGAGGCACGCGTACTTCCATTACTTTCACTTTCCTCCAAGCATTCCCCCCCCCTCCCTTCTACCTTCCCCCCAGGGTCCATGGCAGACTGGTACCTAGCGATAGCAGAAGCACCATCGTGTTCTGACTGGCGGTTATACACCAACCGGCAGTGAAGCAGCAAATCACTTATAATTTGAGTAAAATAAATACAGTCCTGCACAGTGTGGAAGTGTCTCTGTATTACGCCAGAAGCCGATGTGTGTCACCCACTTGGGAATCTGCCTGTCTAAGCAAAAGCATACTTTTTGCAGATGTGCTGAGAAAGATGTAATATTAAGAGGAAGAACCAATGGAAAGTCCATCATTGGGAGGGAGAAGGTAAAAAACCGTGCATTTATTTTTTTTGAACAGCAGGGCAAGCTTCTAATCCCCCTGAATCATCTCCTTAAACTACAATAAGTTTTTTTTCCTCCCCCATCTGACTCTCTCTCCTTTTTCAATTTCTTATTGCGACATGAGTTCTGTAGAATTTCTGGGGAAATGAGTAATGCGATGTGATATTTTTTTTTGTTAAAAAAAAATAATAAAGTCAACTTCTGCTGTTATCTACTGCTTCCAATGGCTTCTAGCCACAGTTCTCTGAATGGGTCATTTCCTGCGTAGTTTTGTCACTGTTCCACCATGGTTGTCCAACTGCCCCTTGCCTCAGCTCAGTTCATACTTATTTGGCGCGGTCTAATGAAAATGACTGTCCCACAGGGTTATCAAGAAAGACATGTCCAACTTATCTTTCTCAAAAAAAGGAGCAAGTCGTGTACATATTACTATCAACCTGCCTTCCATCGAGGACCTGTATACTGCACGAGTCCAAAAGAGGGCTGTGAAAATATCTACAGACCCCTCACATCCCAGACATAAACTGTTTCAACTCCTTCCCTCAAAACGATGCTGTAGAACCCTGCACACCAGAACAACTAGGCACAAGGATGGTTTTTCCCCGAAAGCCACCACTCTGCTAAACAAATAATTCCCTCAACACTGTCAAACTATTTACTAAGTCTGCACTACTCTTACTATTAACCTTCTCATCACTCCTTATCATCCATCCCCTCCAACTTGTGACTGTCTGACTGTAACTTTGTCACTTGTATCCTTATGATTTATATTGACTGTTTCCTAGTATGATTTGATTACTTATTGTACCTTATGACTATTATTAAGTGTTGTACCTGATGATTCTTGACTCTTGATGTATCTTTTCTTTTATGTACACTGAGAGCATTTGCACCAAAACAAATTTCTTGTACGTCCAATCATACTTGGCCAATAAAGAATTCTATCTATCTATCTATCTATCTATCTATCTATCTATCTATCTATCT